CCCCCCCCCCGCACGAAATACATGCCATCATGTGCTACGCACCTCTGCAAGCTGACCTGGTGCGGGAACTCGCCCGGATCCGCGACCTCACCATTCACGATCTGGGGTAGGTCAAGGGCTGCACCTGTGATCACGGTGATCACGAGGGAAGTGAAAACACTTTATAAATGGTCCGCAGCGCCATTTTTGACAAGCCTTTGTTTTGTAAGAAGCGATGCGCAAAATATCACCTCAAGGTCAACGCACCCAACCAAGCGTATGGTGCCCGCCATTCAGACAGGGTCCGATAATTCTCTTCCAACGAACGAACCAACGCTGGTGCTAAAAGTTAGCGTGAACACGGAACTTACCTTGAACACAGGCCACCAGCAGCGCCGCTGCAGCGGCGAACAACACGAGCGAGTAAGCCATGATGTAGAGCGACTTTTGTCGTTGGAGATGTCGTTATATACGCGATTGCCGAATCATGACGGGTGTCGATATACACCCACGGGTGGACTGATTGCCGTCCGTCTCAAGTGTGTGGGGTCCTTGAGGTGCGATAATTGAAAAGATTGGCAACTCGCGATCGGTTAAATGTACAACATTTTGAGAAAGATAGAGTAAAAATTTCTACACCCAGGAAAATGTGTTCTCCATTTTAGACACTCCCCTAAAGACTGCTGTATCTTCAAATTATTTTCAATGCTCTCGATTCATTCAAGAACATTGCACTTGTTTTGGAGACCACGTACTTGTCCCAAGTACCTTAATTTGTTACGAGCAGAGGGTTCGAGACGTTCCCTACGGTGAACGAAAGAAATCGAATATTGAACGTTTCGCACAGTGAGAGAGAAAGATATCGAGGGCAAGAGAGGGAAAGAGGCCCAATAAAAACGACACGGTGTCCACCCCGCGTGACAAACTTTAATTGCGGAGAAGGGGGCGACATTCTGCTGCATCGACTCGTCGGTCAGGAGAGGCTCAGCGGCCGATGATGAGCCGGGGCATCATGGCGGCGCCCAGGCCCATGCCGCCGAGTCCCATGCCGCCGAGCCCCATGCCGCCGAGCCCGCCGCCCATGAGCAGGCTGCCGAGGGGCACGACGCCCACGCCGTAACGCATGCCGGTGGGGTTGACGACGGTGGGGTTCACCACGGTGGGGTTGACGACGGCGGGGTTGACGATGGCGGGGGCGGCGGTCGTCGCCACAGTCGGGACAGGCACCGGGACGGTGACGACCTCCGCCGCCGGTTGAGCAGCGGGGACCTCGACCACGGTGGGACCGGGGATGTTGTTGTGGATGACGTTGCTGGTGTTGACGTTGATCTCGGGGAGCGTGGGCTGGTTCACAACCACCGTACCCCCTTCGGCGACCTCAAACACCTCCGCGTCAGGGTCGATCTCCTGACCGTGGAGGCCCTGGAAACCGGAGCCAATCAGATTGTTTTAGTGTCCGTCCTTGGCTTTAAAATTGACTTCCAGGCGTTGTTTCTCGGATCTCTGCTCTCTCTCAAAGAGCTCTACGCCCCCCCCCCCCCCGCGACCTCCTCTTCCCTGCCACCCGCCCGCTCGGTGCTATAAAGGGTGGCCCACAGACCCCTTCATTTATTTTGCTTTTACTGTACCGCATGCACGAGTGCGGGCGGGTTTGCCTATGCTCGATGACCACGGCTCCTTATGGCCCCGTGTGAGTATGCAACCCGGCCGCACGCCTGAGGAGTGTCTCTGTCTAAAATCTGTGTAGATAGAGTACTAACTTTTGCGCTTCCTAAAAGCCACTGAAGAGGATCTTCTGTTTCAAAATACTACAACCATTTGAGCTGGAGATGTTCGGCTCGGCTTACTCCGTTAAAAGATTTTGGTGCGTTTAATGACTCACCCCGAGGAGGCACAGAAGGAGGGTGAGGCTCAGTGCACGAACCGTCATGCTTGCAGATCTTGATCGTACTGGTCTCGAATCGCACCGAGGGCCCGGGCCGCGACGTCTGTTTAAAGCTTCAAATAACACAGGAGAAACTTGCTGTGGACACAGCTGGCGACTCCTGCCGCGACCGCGGCCCCGCGCGAGGGCTGCGTGGCTGCGTGCGGCAAGTGCGCCGAGGAGCATGGAGGACGGCGAGCGGCAAGTATGGTGTTTCCGGACGCCGCAGCGCTGACGCCACGAACAACGCAGAAAGTGGTCTTCTTTGTCGTCATTTTTACGTCATCGGTTCAAGCCAAGACGCAAGCAGAACTAAAATTCTAAAGAAAAAATGAGTCGTCATCGACGCGGGTGCATAGTTGGCATAAGTCGACAAACGTCGTTGGACCTGCAGTAGGTCCCCGCTGCAACAAAAAAATTAAAAATAAATGAAATAAAATGTGAGGACACCGCGGGACCCAAAAAACAATGTACCTGCCGCCGACGCGACTATGGCGCACTCCTTGTTTTGCGCCCCGCTCGGAGCGTTTGTCACGCAAATCGGACGCGAGATTATCAGATGGAAAGCGCTAATTGCGGTGGAGTGGAAGGCTAAAGCTTGCGGCCGCGCGCTCCGCACGCTCCGGGCGCCAAGCACGCCTCGCTCCGGTGCGATGAGGCTGACCGCGCTGAAGCTGTCCGTGGTCGCGCTCCTCCTCCTCCTCCTCCTCGGCCCCGCGGACCACGCCGACGGCGGCCCCGGCCCCCCGTCGCCCAGGAAGAGAGTAAGAGGACGTCTTCGGCATGGCGGTCGATACAGACCAGCGGCACGCGTCATTTCTGAACCTACACCCAGAAAAATGTTTGCTTATTTAGAGTACATTTTGACCTTGATGACCTAAGATAAATTTTAGTCTCGACTCAAGACAAGACATAACCTTGGTTATAAGTTGAGGAAATTTCTTGTCTTTTTCTTTCTTTTTAAATTTTGCGCAGCCCAACAAAGGGCTGCGGCCTTTGACGCGCCTGGTCGTGGAGATGCCCGTGATGGTGGGTTGCCCCAATGTGCCGGACAACTCCATCAGGTTCAACAACATGAGCGTGGCCTTGGCGGGCAAGAACGACTTTGTCCTCAACGGCGAGTACGACATCTTACGCGAGGCCAAGGATATCGCCGAGGTAAACGGCCGCCGGCACCGGCAGCCTCTGCTGCGGTGCGGGGGTTGGCGCCTGCGGCGGCCGCGGGTGACTGTGCCGCAACACACCCACGTCTGCTGGCTGCCTACCGCACCGCTGACGTCCCTGTTCGTAGCTACAACCGACACGGCCACAGGCAGCTTCATCCGGACGGACTTTTGATTGTTTTTATCTGGGTGAGGGGTAGAACTTGCATTCTTGCTTTTGCGAAAGTGTCGGAAAAGGGGGGGGGGGGATTAGGAGGTGGCTACGCCGCGACTGAGCAGACTTTGTCTAAAGTCGTTTCGGATGAGGCTGCCTGTGGCAAGTGTCGGAAGTAGCTACTGTAACTGCGTAGCTACAATCAGGGACGTAAATACCTGTGGAGCGTGGGCTCCATGTCCGCGATCGTTTCAATGTTCTATTGTTGCTCCCTGGCATCCCCCACCAGGTGGTGATCGGGTTCACAAAGTGCCGCGAGCACCAGTCGGCCAACACCTGCGAGAACTTTCAGACCTGGCGCTTCAATAAGGGAGTGTGCCACCTAATGTACCAGCCCAACACTATGTGGAGCAAGTTCCACGACTATGTAACTCCAAGGCCGACCTGCCCCAGCAAAGCGGTGAATCTCATGCTCCCAAGGCGATTTTCGAGTTGATAATGCCAATTTACTATTTGAAGCCACTTTTTTCAGGGCAAGTATCTGATCCGTAACGCAACCTTGGACATGAAAGCAATGCAAGCCCTACCTCTCCCTCTAGAAGGTAATGTGTGGATTATAAGATTTTCTCAATTTGAGCCCAATGGAAAACTACACACCTGCACAGATACAGAGTTACGGTTCCACAGGGCAAGAGAAAATTGAGTATAGAGGTCCAGGTTTGTACTTTTCTTTTTTCAAAAAACAAAACAATGGAAGAAAGGCAAATAAAACAAAATTTGGGTAAAAACGTTTTTTTAAAAATAAATTACACAATGTGTAGAGCAGTTTGATAATCCGCTTCCATAATGTGACATTATGAATTGGTTTAAGCTTTTTTAGGTTTTGCAGGAAAACTGCTGAGCATAACACTGCAATGAACAAATACTGAAAAATATATCTTTTGGCCTCATTCATCTTTGTACTTTACATTAATTGTAAGACATAAATAATCTGTACATACATAAAACAAAATAATACAAGAAATACAATTAAATAAGTAAATCTATGAAAATTAAATCTAAAAATACATTCTGGTGGGTCATTACTTTGGACGTTGTTTGACTGAAAACAGATTTGGTTCCATTTTGAGACTGGTCGGACCCCAGCCAGAAACGACGCATCAGTATCCGTCAAATTGACATTGACGCGTCAACGTATTTGGTTCTCTGGTTTGCTTTACTACATCAAGACAAGGGCATTTCGAAATTTCTCTTGTAGGTGGGCACCATTGCTCCTGTGATGCACACAAGCTATTCTGGGAACAGCTGGATGAGTGTGTCGCTATTCAATATAATTCATCTAGAACACAAACAGGACCCTAGGACCTTATAATTTGGTAATAGCACTTTACAGCACATGTCTGAAACAAAATTTGTAATTTTTGCAATGCTAGAAATGCAGTACACATTTACAAACATTATGTACATAGATACATATAAGAGTTATTAATTGGCCTAAAGATAACAGAAATAATAATACTATCAGATGACTAGTTTCACTTAAACAAAGACATACACCAAACTCAAGCAATAACATTGAAAGTAAAAAAACAAACAATGATCAATATTTCATAAACATAAAATAAATAAGGGGATAAGACAGAAAATTCTTATAGAATTTTCTGACTTTCTCTATGTTTCTAGTGAATGTTCAGATGATTTACCATGACTTGATGCGTTAATGACGCAAAGCGTAACTATAAAAGACCAGAAAATACAAATTTGACTAAGAAATCTGTTTCTAAGAAAAATACATTCCCTTCAAAAATATACACAATAATTAGTGATGTATCAACCACTTTTCTCACATTCCCAATGGGAGAAATGCACCATTCAGTCCAAGGTGTGACTTAAAAATTAACTACAGTACATTATGACATGGACAACAAGAGAGCAATTATATGAATGTATGAATTAGTAATGCAAATTTACAAATGAGCTATGTAGCTTTGGTCTTATATACAGTATACAATAATTTAATGTATCCATAAACATTTGCATCAAGCCTAACTGAAAATAGATGACTTTACGTATCTGGTCTTGTGCTGGCAACAATAAAATTTGGAGAGCAACAAAAATTTAGATCATAAAGATTTTAAAATTGCTCTTTCCAAAACTACGTGTAGTATTGTCTTTGAAAAATTATTAACAGGACAATAAAATTAAACCCAAACATTCAGTCTTTGGCTGCTGCTGCTTTAAGAAACTCCAGATCTTTCATGATCATGGAATTCATAAAAGATTAGGAAAAAGGTCCAAATCGTTGTCCTCATCCTCATCTTCGTCTTCACTGGAAGGTGGCGTAACTAACTGCGGCATCCCCAAATTCAAATACTCCTCATTAGCAGTTACAGTCAGAATTCTATCTAGTTCCTCAACAAGCTCTTCAAATGTTGGTCTCTCATTAGCTTGATAGCTCCAACATTCTCGCATCAGCATGTACCTTTAACAGAAAAAAAATATTTATGAATAAGAACGTTGTAATAATAAAACAGCACACAAATGACAACTCAAGAAAGATAAACTTATTTTTGCTTTATACATATAAGTTTATTGTAATTAACTGAGCACCCAATCTGTGCCACCACCCCGGTGAGAAATGATCAATCAAAAAGACATCAATTTGACGAAAATTCGTCAAAATATCATCAAATTTTGGGACACATTTTCATCATTGACGTCAAATTGATGTCTTTTGGATTGATCATTTCTCACTGGGACATTGTTGTTGTAAACTACCCCTTGTTTTAGAGCCAAGAGCTCTGTAGGGGTTAAACAATAAATTAAATTTAAAAGAAAAAACACTTACATTTCTAATGAACATGCTGGAGGCTTCTCCATACGATGACCACTTCTCAATAATTGGAAAAGTTTCTCTACACTGGGCATAGACGGATATGGTGTTCCTCCTAATGTCATTATCTCCCAGAGTAAAATTCCATATGACCACCTGGTAAATGGATAAAAAATAGTGAGTCAATAGGATTTTCAAAGAAACAAAAACACTCAAACTTGATAAATATTAGACAATACCAGGAGTATATTGAATACTTACACATCTGACTGGCTTGTGTACACTCTATGGAACAGTGCTTCTGGAGCCATCCACTTTACAGGGATCCTGCTGTTAGTGGTTTTCCTGTAGTAGTCGTTGCAATGTATATCTCTTGCTAGACCAAAGTCAGCAATTTTAATTACATAATCATCACTAACAAGTACATTGCGGGCAGCTAAGTCTCTGTGAATGCACTGAAACACAAAGATAAATATATTAGGTAAGACAAATTATGATGTGATAAATAGAAATAATATAAATACAGTATAAATTAGTAGTAAAAATAGGAGTAGCTACTCACTCTTCTAGACGCCAGGTACTCCATGCCTCTTGCGACCTGGTAGGCGAAGGACACCAGGTCTTTGTGTGTGAGGGTCTTGTTGATGCCGATGGCGCGCTCGTACCCGGAGGCCGACACCCCGCCCACGGACGCCCCGGACGCGGGTCTTTGCTGCCGGAGGAAGTCACGGAGGTTGCCGTGCGGGGCGTACTCGACGATGACGAACAGGGGGCCGTCCTGGGTGCAGCAGCCCAGCAGGTTGATGATGTTGACGTGCCGCCCGATCATCTTCATCATCTCCATCTCCGACACGAGGTCCATCATCTCCGCGTCCGTGTGGCCCTCCTTGAGCATCTTGACGGCCACCGTGGTGGTGATGCCTGCCTTCAGGATGCCGTGCGCCTCGGCACGCACCACCTTGCCGAACGCGCCCTCGCCGAGGCTCTTGCCGAGCGACAGGTTGGCGCGGGGGAACTCCCAGTCCGGGTCCACGGGCAGCTCGTACTCGGAGATGGTGAGGCTGTCGGCGGGCGCGGAGCACTTCTGCTTCTGAATCTTCACCATGGGCATGATCAAGGGCTCCTGGGACTGCGACTCCCCGACGCCGACCACGACGCCGCCACCGCTCGGCCTCGACACGGGCTCCACGATCACCTTCTTGGTCCAGTGCGTCACCACGGCCGCCCTGGCCGTCTCGATGGCTTTGATCTTCTTCATCTTCTCGCGCTTGAGGCGGCGGAAGATGTGGACGGTGAGAAGGACCCCGAAGAGAAAGAAGGTGCAGAGGACGCCGGCCAGCAGGTTGACGATGAAGGGCTGCGTCATGGACTGCACGGGCTGCAGCGACGGCATAGGGTTCAGCTCGTCCTCGGCTGGAGGCAAGTCAAGGCAAAGAAAACATTAGAGAACTCGCTCGCAAAACACTCTCAGTGCAAGTGCTGAGTACCATGTACTTACATTCAACGACGCGCAGGTACGCCATGGCATAAGTTATGCCGAGGGAATTCCCTGCCACGCAGGTGTAATAGCCCTCGTCTTCCATCGTAACGTTGGTCAGCCTAAGGACCTCCGGGTCAGTGATGCCAGTGTCACCAGACTGTGGAGGCAATCAGGGAGTGTTAAAAAATATTGTCGACAGATGATGTATCTGGAACGTTCAGTTTGTCATATTTGTTTTTTCACCGAAACCATGCAGAATAAATGGTCACTCACAGCATGCATTGTTATTTTACTTGTGCATTTACTTTATACTACAAAACAAGAATATTATAAGCAAAATGATATAGAACTAAAGGCAAAAGTAATCATGCATTAGATTAGATTGAGTACGGTTTGGAATTTTCCACCAGAGAGCCAAGGTATACAATTTTCAAAAAAGGGCAGTTAAGATCATCAAACAGGTCCTGAACCAAGGCTTACTTAAAATCATTGTCTTTTATTTTGTTAGTAAATTGCAGACAAAAACTGTTCTGTATATAAAATTTTCCACTTAATAGTGTATTGGTTAGTTTTGGACATGCTTTTAAATGAGATGCAATGCCAAGTACATCACGTACGGGCACATTTGTTAGTTTGGTTTGGTACGTGCTTCTTGCAGAGCTCACATTAGTCAATGCCAGTGCAATGACAATTGTTACCGTACCTGAACCCTTCTGTCGTCATTGTCACCCTCCGAATAATTGCCTTTGAACCAGTACAAGCTGGGGTGCAGGTCAGACAGGATCTTACAGGTGAAAGAAACCGTTCCACCCACCACAGCCAAAGCGTTGGAAGGCGGCTGGGTAATGATGGGCCGATGATTCAGACGTTCTGCGAAAACGAAAAAGCAGCCCCGCCACCAGTTTTAAAAGCTTTGCTCAGCTGATATATATTGCACCAATAACCAAATTGATAAACAAGAATTGACAAGACTGAGGCAGCATTTTGAAATTTATACAAGCAAATATATAAGCTTGATGGTGAAAATGTTGAATAAATGATTAAACAACCAAGGAGAAGCAAAGTTAGATTTGCACCATGTATC